CTACCGCCTTCATGATCCAAGTAAGGGGCCTCATAACTTAACTAGCGCAGGGTCTCGTTTGTTCTACATCAGGCATTGCTTATAGGCAAAGGACAAAAATTGCTTAATCCCCACAACCACAGTCACGCTGGAGTAGATATTTACACCAACCTCACTTCTTTTAGTGCAAAGTGCTGCGGCAGATTTGGAAAACCCGGGATCGGTCACTTTCTTCCATCTCAATTGAGAAAAGCACAGATACTACGCTTTCATCTCTTGGTATGTATGTATATTTTAATTGAATGACAAGCCTAAAATATTTCTTCAAAATTAAATAAAAAATAAGTTTGAAAAAATAATTCTATTTATTTCTGAATAATCTCCAGAAAGTTCAATATCTTATTTATTATAATTTTTATTTGATGTTTTAGAGTTTAAAATTTTTTTCTCTTATTTCCAAATTTATGATTTTATTATTCAAATCCAGGTTGTTCTGATCGAGTAGAAGATGAATATATAGCATCCGCCAACCATTTTTCTATCAATGTAAATTTTTGTGCGAATCTGTGCATAAAGTGGATTACAGAGCCTTGATATTTTACTCACTTCTCATTGGTCTGTTAATATTAAAATCATGTTCTCGCCTACATCCGTACAACGCCTACGCGTTATTCAAAACCATTTTTCCGCCAAAAATCAGAAATGTTCTTCGGAGCCGATCACGTGATTACGTTGATTATAAATGCCGGACACGAGTTCGTTCGTTCTTCCTTCTTTTTGATTTCTCTCGCTTACGAAAATGTAGCTGTTTAAGAAATCGCGTTCCGACCCCAGTTCGGGCGGACGCTATGAAAACATATTCACACACGCACACATACACGTACGTACGAAACTTTACAAGCAACGGAAACTTAATTATAAACATTACAAGCATCAACATATTACGAATATTCAACTACAAGTAACAGAAACTTAATTACAAACATTACGGAACATTCACTCCTTCAACTCTTCTGAAGCTAAAAGTTTATCAACACATTTTCAGCTTTACAGAATTCTTTCAACTCTCTCACAGTGAACATTTTGAGAGGAAAGTTCGTTCAACTTCCTATGAACTCAGATAAAAATATTTCTTCAGTAAAGACTTTAATTCCAGCCAAAGGGAAGTGTCCCCTATTAATTATGCTTGTAAATATAAAATGAAAATTGTTTTTAAAAACCGTTTTGTGTTCCTTCTTGTTTCATATTTTGTGGTGTTTTGCGTTAAATATAAATTCGAGAGGTAAGTAACCTCTACAAATGTATTATTTAATTATATTATTCCAACGTCTTATTTTAAACTCAGTCATGTGTGTATGTGTGCACGCCAGCATGCATGTGTGTACATTACATATGGCACAAGTATATATAACCTATTTGCACAAAGCTAAAAGACATACGCACATATATACAATATACATGCGTAGCTTGGACACTTCAACGTTGTGTAATGGTTAGCACGCTTGTCTCGCTAGATCATAGTAAGGAGTTCGAGCCTCACTGAGGGTTCCATACTTTCGCCATGTGCCACATCTAAGCTACGCTTTATAAATTGCTATATACATGCAGAGTTACATACAGGTAGGTACTTCTGTAGATCACCGGGTGGGTTTGAGTGTTGTTGAATTAGAGACACGTGCTATTTATTTCCTGCTAGAAGAAGGTCCAACTACAAGAAAATGGCGGACTCTTGTTGTGTCCAACCGAAAATGAAAAAAAAAACAAACAAGACCGATATATATATATATATATATATATATATATATATATATATATATATATATATATATATAAAACAAATATATGTATTAAACAACACAATTTTACAATAGACATAGATATTAATATTTGTGTGTGTGTGAACATTTGTGTTTGTTCTTTGGTGAATGTTCGTACGTACGTGTATGTGTGTATAATGTTCATGGCGTCTCCCACAAATGGGAAACGCAATCTTTTGCGAGAGCTAACATTGAAGAGGTGTTCGCTGAAATGAAGAAATGAAAAAGAGAACGAGGCGAGAAGTCGCCCAGTATTTATAGTGTAGGGAGAACGACCCGTAGTGAACAATTAGGGAATTAAGGAGGAGCTAACTCCGACACTTCCAAACATTCGAGATACCTAAAGTAAGGACAAGGTTTAAAATAATTTTTAAAAACAAAAAATCTTGCATGAACCTTTTTTTTTTATTTTAGTCTTAATTTCAAGCTAATAGATTAAATTTCTAATAAGCAAAATACTTTGCTGTATTTCAAACCTAATTTGAATTGTCTGGAAGAAGTTTTCGTTTTGAAATTAATAACATTCTCTGATTTTAGTGCCATTTTAACCATCAGTCATCGCAATGTAATTCTCTTTATTAGAAAATCTTTCACAAATAGAATTATAGTTTTCTGAAAATTTATTTGAAATTGACTAACCCTAGTTCAAATTGCGGCTTAGGTGGCATCAATTCTCCTAAAAATAGGAATAGAATCTGTTGAGAGCCACGATCATTTACGTTCTAAAAGGATATGGCATTTCAAAAAAGTATAATTTAACTTTTGTGCACCCTCCAAAAAAAAAAAAAAACGTCAAAAGGGCGGTTTTTCCTTGACACGACTATTATTTTAACTACCCTTACTTTACCTGTTTTTGGAGGCACGAAGGTTAAAGATTGCTAAATTTTCTTTCTATAATATATTTAGATTTTCATTTATGTGAGTTGACACATTTGAATATTACTTTTTGAGAATTTTAAATCTCTACAAGAGTGAAAATTATCATATCATTAGTAGAAACTCAAATTAAAAATATTAACTCACACAACGTACGGGTTTCACTAGATAATATATTCTAATGTAGATATGAATATTTTATTTTTTAGAAAAAAATTTTTTCTGTATCCTCAAATACAATCCTGAACTATAAAAGAATTTTACATGCAATTTAAGAAAAATACATAAAACATGAAAGAGAGTTATTAACAGTGATATCCAGTAGTAAAAATTACTTCCATTTTTTACATTTGGACCATTATACTCATCTTTGTTGTTATCACAATGTTTCAGTTTTTTCCTTTAGCCATCATCGGGTATTTATTGATTAGAATAGCCTCCAGGGAATTTCTAACGGAACCTTTTATTTAATCTATTGAGGCAGACTGTTCTTATTCCGTTGGCCATGTCTAAAGATATCTCGACTAGTTCTTATTATACCTCTATTTTGTTTAGAAGAGAAAAAAATATTGACAGAAAAATTGTTAGATTATTAATGTCATAATTTGTTGAACATTTTTATAATTTGTCTGTAAATAAATATTTTTTTATAAATAGGTGTGTGTACACAAATTGAGCCATTTTCTTTTTAGCATTTATCCCATAAGTTTTTTTTTTTTTTTTTTTGTTAATCATTTCACTCCAAGCAAGGCAATAATGCCAATATGACACAAGCAGTTACTGAGAGTGAAAGAAAAGGGAGGACAATAAAAGAACAGAATTCAAGGAGACAGAACATGATGATTGACAATGCATTTAAATTTCTGAAGATCGTAATTGACAGGAAAGCGAGAAGCTGGATGAGAGTGTGGGAAAATGAAATAAAATTGATAAATAAAATTGTAATAATGAATATTAAAAAAAAAAGGGAAAACAAATACATTTTTCCATGATGCTAAGAATAAAGGAACTGGAAATATAATTACCACGCTGGAAGCAGAGTTGTTGAAATCTATAAAAAGACAAACATTTCCTGCCTCGCTCGCTTTCTCCCAGATGTATCAGTAAGTGGTAAACGGTCGGTCCCACTGGGACACGTTAGTTTCCCCGGTTTACTGATGAGTGTCTCTATCTTTCCACTGTTCAACACATGGCGTTCGCACAAGGCTTCTGAAACATCCACCTATGAAGCAAGTCAAGCCGTTTCTTTGGTTGTTCAAACTAAGCGGAAGGCTGGTTTGAGCTCAACCAGTATAACGATGCTTATCCTTACTTACCCTAACTTCTGAACCAAGAAAAAGAAATTGAACATACCATAAGCAAGTTTAAACTTTCCAGCGATAAAGTACGTATAAACCTTTCTTTGGTTGTTCCAACTCTGTACAAGGCTGACTTGAGCTCGACAATTAATACGATGCTTATACTTACTTACTCTAATTCCTGGACCAAGAAGAAAAAGGACATACCCAAGAGACACTGAAAGACTTTGTTTCATTACAGTTTATAGAAAAAGAGCATAAACTGTCTGTGGTAGGAATGCAATATTTTGTACGCTTCTTTGTTTATCATATATAAACACGCACACACCTAAAATACATACAGCCAACCTTTTAAATTCCATAAGAGTTCTTTCCACGAAGGAGAAGTGCGCGAGAATAAACTATTAGCATAGAAGTGTGACAGATTTTACAAGTAGACAAATGTATTAACTTTTTAATGTAAACAGGTAAGTTGCAAACTGCCAATAATTTAGCTGAGGTGAATATCTGCTATAAAATTTAAGAATGCTTTATTTCCCCCATGATACACACCATTAAGTTGAGCCCGTATATTCTAAAAACTTTATATTAATATGATAGCTATATAAAATATTACTTACACTATTTACATTGTTCGGACTGTTGCCCACATCTTTGTTGCCATATTCACATTTCTGCCGTCGTATGTTCCAGCCTTCTTCGGGTGATTGGAATTTCAAACTTAACCCTTTATTTCTGGGTAGATTGTTCTAGTTCCATGTGCCAGGCCTCTCCCGGATTCCTCAGTATCAGTTATCTCCCTTTTAACTCAACTCTCCAAGTTTCTGTTCATCTCAGCTGTAGCCAGGTATTGAACTCGTAACTCTTTAGGTCAAGTCACTAGATTCAACCAACACTTGGATTATTGAGTCAAAGGGGAGATAACTAATACTGAGATAGATTCAAGGAGACAGAAGCATAATTATAAAGAAATTTACAGTTCACATTAAGGAAAGGCTTGACAATAAAGTAAGACTTAAGTTAATTTTCTGCCATATCACATTGAAACACGGCTTCCAGTACAATCGCCGAAGTTAAGCAATGTCGAGCCTGGTTAGTAATGAGATGGGTGACCACTTTGGAATACCAGCTGCTGTAATTTTAGATGTGTAGGTGGTGTAATGGATGAAGAATCAAAATTGGAAACCGAAGAGCCAAGTTCCAATTCCAGTTGAGTCCATTATATTAACTTGCACGCAAATACCCTTGGGAAAGGTACGAATCCACCTATCTCCCATCCACAGCTAAGGGTTGGTTAGCAGGTCTTCTATCACTAAATCGTTATTATCTCCCCCAAAAGCTCTTACAATCTAAAAATATTTTCTGGCTTTAAATAACCTGAAAAAGGTTGATAAGTCGTGAAAAAACAAATCAGTCAAAACATTTTCCATTATTTAAGTTTCTTTTTATTATACACGCGCACACACATACATACGGAAACGAACCGTCGTTTGTGAGCAAATGTTTACTAACATATTTTTGTCCGTAAATATATTTATTTCAACAGTAATTACGTATAGCAGTAATAAAATGTTTTTAAAATGATGACAATTTTATCTATTATTTTATCTGTATCTGAAATGTAGCAACATTTACTAATCAAACTCAGATTGTGTCTGTGTATGCTATGCATATTTATACATACACGTACATTTAGTATATATATTACTTTGTATATATATTATTTTATATATATATATATATATATATATATATATATATATATATATATATATATATATATATGAATCATTCATACAAAAAAACAAATATAGAAATGTTAATGATTTAAATGGAAATATATATATATATATTTCAATTATAGGTGCATCTTCAATCAAACAATTTCAATTAATTTTAAATGTTTTTCACAAACAATTTCAATAATTTGTTTTTTGTATGAATGATTCATGTAATTATAAATTGAACTGCACCTATAATTGAAATATATATATATATATATATATATATATATATATTTAAGCGCTATTTTTAGCGTATAATCATATTTGAGTAGACACGCCGTTTATTTTAAACAGTATTTTATTTCGTCTACCGGTCTTATTAAAGAAAATGTGCCTTCCGGCAGGATTCGTACTTACATCCCCCTTTGCTAAAGAAACCGCTATTTAATCCAACGTGCTTTGACTACTCGGCTACGAAGAGTTTCTCAATCAAGCAAGGGTCTATTTGCCTTTAAAGCACACCCTACTCCTTCAGATATTCTCAGTTTTGTATCAGAAATGTAAACAAAACAATTGATAAAGAATTAATGTTTTTTTTTTAATTTTTAATCAGACGTATTTTTATTACTTCAAACGTTATTTTTAGTGGATACTCGTGGTTGAGTAAAAAGCCTGTTTTCGAGTAATTTCGAGTGTGCAGGCTGGTAGACGAAATGAATAGTTTAAATTTAAAATAAAAAAATTAGAGTATTTGAGTAGAGACATTGGTTCTTTTATTTCAAACAGTATTTATTTCATTTGAAGTTATAAAAATGTCGGATTAAAAAAAATAAAATCCATTATTTCTTTAGAAATATAAGTATATATATATGTTTAAACGTTGCTAAGTGCTCAATTTCAGAGATAGTGCATTTGTTGTTATAGAGACTACAGATTCCTAAGTTTACAGTTCAGTTTCATATATATATGTGTGTGTGTGTGTGTGTGTGTATGTGTATGTGTGGTAAAAGATTAGATCAACCGATTCCGCTACCTTGGTTTCAAACTTTCGGTATCTTCTGGCGATTTCGGTCAAGAATTGACCGAAATCGCCTGAAGATACCGAAATGCTGAAATTAAGGTTGCGGAATTGGTTGATCTTCTAATTTTTTATACTTAAAAGCACTCCATGTTAAATCTTTATTTTTTTTATACGTGTATTGAGCAATTTTTAATACTACTGTTTCCTGGTCTAATTCAACTGTGGCCATTAATTTTTTTAATATATATATATATATATATATATATATATATATATATATATGTGTGTGTGTGTGTGTGTGTGTGATGGCTCTATCATTTGACCTACCTATATCGTTAATTTTAACAATCGAGCTTCCTGATGTCACCAAGTTCTCAACTCGGTATCTATGCTGATGACAACTATTTACTCCTGTCTAATCGGTTTGATAAAGTAAAATTAGCAGTTGATCTAAAAAAATGACCTACAACCTGTTAATAAACGGGGCAAGGGATGGCTTGTTAATTTTAATGCCTCCAAAATGAAACTGCTGTCTTTTAATCGTCTGAGAGAACCCCTTTTTTTGTCTTTCATCAACAGGAGTGCGACTCATTGCGCCTTCTCAGGTTAACGTTTTCCAGTAACGTAAAGGGGAAAGATTATATTGAATCAATTGCTGGGTTTGCTTCTAGGAAATTGGTACACTGTGTCGTGCTCGACGACGTTTCCCGACAATGTATTTTAGATATTCAAGTCAACTATTTGTCTATGTTTTGAATATTGCTACATCTGGTTTGGTGGTTCTGCTATATATTTAGAGATTCTTGATAAAATCCAATGAATCTGCAATGATATTAGTCATGATCTAGCATCTCACCGTCACTTTCCCACTGCCGCAATATAGCTTCCATGTGCATTTTTTATAAATACTTTCACAGTAATTGTTCTGAAGAGCTTTCCTCTACTGTATCAAGACTTTCTGAATTTAAGTGCAGTACTGGATCAAGGAAAACCAAGATCTGCTCGTTTGCCTAATCATGAAGAACATACTCTGCAGGCTGTTGGAGATATTCCAGGTAACAGCACGTGTCAAGTGGCCCTAGCATATTGTACATCTTATAGTACTGCATTGAGTGTACTTCAAGAGCAGCTCCTGTATCTGTATAATTTGCCACGTGTGCAGGGTCTTTCGCCTTCTGATCACTCACCACGTGAAACCGTTTTGCCGATGGTTTATTGCACAAACTGACAATCCATTGTTTGTCTCTTCAGTCTTTTTTACGGATGAGGCAACATTTGGAAGAGATGGAATAACAAATTTACACAACCAACATTTGTGGGTGGATCAGAATCCCCATAGTACAATACAGACTAGACACCAATTTACGATTAATGTGTGGGATGGAATTGTAGGTGATTGTCTGGTAGGTCTATATGTTTTCCCAGCACATCTTACAGGAGCTGTCTACACGGACTTTATTTCAAACATACTTCCAGACCTGCTAGATCAGGGGTCGGCAACTCATTCGACCCCGCGGGTCGGATCGTGTTATAATGATGGGTCGCGGGCCGGACGAAGGCTATTAATGAAAAATTAAGGAAAATTACATATGCAGACCCCTGTCAACCTAAATATTTAAAACCGTAATGAAAATAAACATTGAGAAATCAGAAAAAACAAAAGAAAATCTAAAATTAAAAAAACACCTAACAAAAATTACTTTTCCTCAAGGAACGTCAAAATACTTCAAAGTAAAAAAAATCAACCGAAGTGAAATGGATGAAACTGACGTGTAGGTTTGAAACTGTTATTGAAAATTGTTCCACAAACGAACCACTCTCACACACACACACACAAAACAAAAAACGAAGCACATATACCCATACATACGAGTACAAATAGTTGCAAACATATACACTTACGTACGTACATATGCGGTATCATCCACACATTCATGAGGCATGTATGTATAATGCGCGTATGTTTAACTGTCTTTAGGTTTCTGCTACCTCGCATGTCAGTCCCTCCCTGGCCTCTTTCACTTCATCGTTCCTTTCGCTTCTGTTATCTTTTAATGTAGCCAAGGGTCATAACAAATATGCATCCATTATTTGACATTAAACGTAGGCAACGCAACTTGGTAAAATAAGTATCATGAAAGATAACTGGCAGATAGTCTAATTCGAAAGCATCGTCTCTCATGTTAAAAATAGAGTCATTGGTAATCAGGCTCGCGGGTTGGTCAAAATGCCTTCGTGGACTGGATCCGGCCTGCGGGCCGTAGGTTGCCGACCCTTGTGCTAGAGGATGTATCCCTGGTAATACAAAGACACATGTGGTTCATACATGATGAGGCTCCAGAACATTTTAGTCTCATTGTTTGTGATGCAATGGCTGATCTCTACCATAAAAGATGCATAGGTTGGGGATGACCAGTTGCATAGACTGCACGTTCATCCGACCTCAATCCTTTGGATTTTTATGTTGGGAAACCTAAAACAATTGGTTTATGCAGAAGACATTAATAATGCAGAGATGCTTCATCAACATGTCATGGGGGTCTGCGAAATCACTCGACACCATGTGGGAGTATTTGAAAGGGCACAACAGTCATTGATCTGATGGGTGCATGCATGTGTACAAGCAGAGGACATTTTGAACATTTATGAGTTGTTGCATTGAAGTACAACAATGGACTTTTGGATATATGTTTATATGGATATTTTACATTAAGAGCAGGTTCCTGACATCAAAATAAAATTTGTAAAAGTATTTTTGGATTGTATCTGGGATTTTATATTCAACAGCATCTACCATAAATTTTAAATTTAATAACTCAAAAACGAAGGATTTGCAGACATATGTTTATATGAACTTTTGTCCTCATTTTGGTGTGAGGAACCCACCCACAAAGTCTGTAAAAGTATTTTTGATACACCCTGTATATACAGGGGTGTTTGCAAAATAATAATTTTTTTCTTTTTCCCTTGAGACTGAATATACATGTTTTCTGTGTGATGGAGATGATTGGAAGTTTTTGAACACAATCACATTTAGGAGGTGTTGGTATGTAGCAGAAATCATATCATAGAATTGAAATAATCTTAATATTAGGTATGCATTTACCTTATGCTAAAATTTGGTTTAAATAAGTTGTATAAAGAGAAAATGTCTGAATGAAGTTTCACTTGTCCATTGCGCTAAGGTCAATTCTACAATTTTTGTTAAAAAAAAAAAAAAAAAATTCAATTTTTAAATCTATTATGGATTTGAAATATGTAGTAATCATTCTTTCACAGGGTCAATTTCGTGGTTGTTGCCTTATAAGTCAATATATTCTAAAATTTCCTTTCAATTTTCATTTTCTATTCTCAGCTGCTGTTAATGTCATTTTTGTTTGATCATTTATTCAA